AGACAAGCTGTGCAAATATCAATAAAAACAACATCGGAACGTGGCGAAGGCTCAGGACACTAAGTATGGATCTCGTCGAACTCGGCTGCTCTGCTGGACGCCCGCAGAACCCTCCCTCCCGATGCCACGTATGCCACAGTGTGCAAATCCCTTAAACGCCAGCTCATCAAGAGTCTGGGGAATAACCGCGAGAAGTGGTTGGTAGAAAAGTTCAAAGAGATGGAGAAAGCTGCGACTATTGGTAATAGTCGCAAACTTTTCCGTTTAATTAGGGATACGGACTTCAGGAAAATAGGCGTAAGTGATATAAGTAAGGAATCCGATGACACACCGATTCACCACTTCGAGGCTCAGATCCACTGGCGCCCATCGACCTCTGACCTATCACCCCCACCTCGACTGGACAAGTAGTCCAAGTTGATGCTAGTCTTACATCTGNTCCCGGGAAATAATTGATCTCAAAAGACATAAGGCCTCTGGCTCAGATGTGCTGTTCCAATCGGCGTTTAATGATGGAGGCTTAGTGTTAGTCTTGGGATTGACGAAACACCTGGACTCGATATGGGAAAGGGAGGAGGTTCCAGCTAAATAGTGTGAATCGGTGATCATACTGATTTACAAGAAAGGCGACAGGTCCTTTGTGAGAACCATAGAGAAATTAGTTTAATCATCATCATCTCTGAACTTTTCGCTGGTATTACACTCCGGCGGTTGTCTACCGCACATGAACGGTAAACGCGTGGGAACCAGGCTGGTTTCAGACCATGGCCGAGGTTGTATCGACCACATCTTCACCCTTCGCCAAATTCTGTAACGTCGACATTCTTTTCATATACCCACCATCTCTGTGTTTCCTCGATTTGAAAGCCACTTTCGACTCAGTCGACCGCCGTAAACTCTGGCGCTGTCTACGCAGCATTGCAGAAATCTGATTGGGCATCTGGTCGAGCAATACTGAGGTCGGACGCAGAGTTTTGGGTAGCCGCGGTCGCTCACTGGCGCAAGTGGTCGGCCTCCATAGATTACGTTGGTTTGGGCGTGTTACGCATGTCACCAGATAGGTTGCCACAGCGAGCGATGTTCGCCGAAGCAGGTAGTGGGTGGAACAAAAGCAAGAGTGGTCAAGCTAAGACTTGGCACGAGGGTATGAAAACCCCAACCAGGAGTTTAGATCCCATAAGTCCCGTTAGGCACCCTGGCTAGGGACCTAGGGATGCTAGTAACCGCCGGTTAGAGAAGATGAGTGCTACGGCTGGGTATCATAAACAGTGGCGTTCTTTCATCTTCTCCATTTTTTCGCAACCTTAGACCACTGAAATTATCTATTTTCTGTTCAAATCCACTTTCAACCTTCCTGTCTTTCTCCTACTGTTCATCCAAATGGACGGCCAAAAGACAGCAACCGAAACCGTCACACGAAGGTGCATGTTTAATGGGTGTACAAACTGAACGGAACTGAGGGGAGGTGCGAAGATCAGGTTTGTATCATGATTGATCACAATCATTATTAAATAATCTCTTGCCACACTCACCTGTGAGTGGGAGTTGCAATGTAAACACAAAAACTGTATATGTTAATGAATGCCAGAGTTTGTTCTGATAAAGCGTGACAGTATGTCGAGTAAAACTGTGAAACTAATCACGATGAATTGGTTGTGGTGTCTTGCAAATACAGAGGGCAGTGGGCTCCAAACAGACGCGTGGATGAAAGTATTAACCAGGATACGCCTCACTTATGTTGAGACTATCTTTCCTACTTCCATCATCCTTCCACGAACCACAATCAATTTGACTGAGGATCAAAGGTTGGTTGTAAATTAGACTGTCTTAACCGAGCTGATGGTACCATACAAATGGCATTATAAACTCCGTCATGCGACGAACGAGCGAATTTGGAAAATCTGTATTTTGTAATGTTTTGGGTATCAAACTGGATTTCGGTTGAAGATATATTTGAGCACAGTATCATCGAGTAAGTGTAATTCAGTAGCCATAATTTATGGTGCACAGTTATTGACAAAATGGGGTTTAGGTTACATAGGAATAAATACATCAATCAACCCCAATAGTGAAATGATTCAATTCTGGAACAAATGGAGTTTTGAGGGGAGGGGATGGAGGGTGATCGGGCGGAATCGAGAAACACATGGAATACGATCCCGGTTGGGAGATTGCTAGCTGAAAGACGATCAGGCGTGAAATGTTGGCAGAGTGCTCTTCCTGTTTGATTAGGTAGGATGAGAATAGTGTCATACACAACAATGTAGAGGGCGGAAGATGCATGTGTGTAGACGATAGTCGAACGGGAAGTGGGGAATAACTAAATACACTGGTTGGATGACCTAGAGCATCTCAAGAGCCCAGGTGTGTGGGAGAATCTTCGTGCTTTAAAATTGTAATCTTTCACGTGATCCTTCACGCTAGTATTAATGTCGTAGTCACTACCCAAACACACACAAACAAAAGGAAATATGAACAAATTCGAGGTGCAACAGTGGGAATGGGATTAGTGGTAAATAAACGATCATTTATGCACCGGCCGTCACATGATTCCACAGAAGAGGGAAACTTGTCGCTGAAAGAAAGGAATAACATGTTTCGAACGTGTCAATCAGAAAAGATCGAATAATTTAGTGGAGTTCATGCCGAAGCGGTTCACAAACCCCCGAAATAATAGTTCAGTACCGAATGGAGCGTGCCTCGGCTTGTGCGTCCATATCACAACTGAGCACCGCGGTGCGCCTGACGGATCTCTTATCGGCGTCGCGAGCTGATCGATCAGAATCGTGTTTGACGATCCATGGGCGTGGGCGGATAAAATAGATCCGCATAGTCCGGTAAACCGGAAGGAGTGATTACTTGTCCCACAGCGTACAGAAGTAATTGGTGTTCTTGTGGAGTTAAGGGATGAGTCTGAGTGGAAAAAGGGAAAAAATATGATATAATGAGGTTTCTATCAATCAAATTAGTTTTTTGATTTATCTAGTTATCCTAAAAACAGGTTTAGGTACACTTAAAGACATTATTTTGTATCTAATTTGGTTTTCACAGCGGCTCCACTCGTTACACGCACGCGCGGGGACGAGAGGGAGTAATCGAGTAGTTAATAAACAAATCAAATAGAAATTTGCTACTACGCAGCGAATATTAGAATCACAAATTATGAAAAATGGTAAAATAATGTAGTGGCAACAATCTCATAGCCCTTGAAGTTCAACACGAATGAAACGAGTTCGTGCTGCCCAGTGCGGCCGTTCTGTTTCAGAAAGTCGACACCAATTTGGAGTATACCATCCAGGAATTTCTGGACCTTAGAGTCACGCATCTTTACATGTTGAGATAATTTTATTTTAGCAACCAAAGTCAGGCACATTTAATTGACAGTCATGCAGCTTAGAAACTACGTAGATCGAAGTAGACAAAAGATAAGTTATTGTCCATACCTAGAGCTTTAATATAGGCGATAAATAAAATAAAAGTCAATTTGACCAGGGAGAAAATATTTTTGTACATCACAATCGGCCATTACTGTAAGCTCGCCCTTACAGATCCCGCACCTGTAGCGTTTCAAGAGGTAAAAAGGTGTCTAACAAAGACCACGCTCCTCGTGCGTCCTGATCCAGTAGCCACGCTTAGCATCGCGGTTGATTCCTCCGATTTTGCCATCAGAGCGGTCTTGCAGCAATCCGTTTCCGGGATGTGGCAGCCTCTCCAGTTTTATTTCGACGCCTCACTCACACAGAAAAGAGGTATAGTACTTTTGGTCGACAAATTCTAGCTGCTTAAAGTACAATAAAGCATTTTAGGCATGGGATTTCATCCTTCTCATCGACCATAAACCTCTAACATATGCCTTGCATACTAAGTCTGATCGTTAGTCTCCTCGAGAAACCAGACACTTAGACTATAGTTCACAGTTCACGACTGACCTGCGCCATAATCACGGCGAATCGAACTGCGTTGCTAACGCGTTATCACGCATTATCATTAATGCAATAATGTCTACACTGCTAGACTTTTCTGCCATGGCTGCAGCACAGGCAGACGATGCCCTTTGTCAAGAAGCAGCCTGTTCATCTTCGTTGCGATGTCACGCAGTCCCTCTAGCAACGGCTTCTGGCGCCATCCTCTGAGACACCTCAAAAGGTATCACTCGCCCAATAGTACCTTCTCATCGGTGCATAGTGTTCGATACTCACCCAGGTATTGCAGCCACATTACGTTTATTTGCTGCATGACACGTCTGGCTGTCTATGAATAAAGAGGTTCGTATGTGTGAGCTAAACAGTGTATACAAAGTGTCAACGAGCTAAGATCCACAGGTACGTAGTTTCACCTGTTGGTACCTTCGCTACACCTGACGCTCGATTTGATCATGTGCACACTGACATTGTAGGACCTTTTTAACGTTTTCATTTCAACACTTAACCAGTTAAAGAGAACTGGCAAATGTGCCACAACATATTTACAAAGAATCGGCAGAATGTGTTCATAGGTCGTGTGGGCGTGTTACTTCCCGGTTGCCCTGACCGAGGAAGGGGAATAACCTCGGGGTTCCTACCCGAAGCCTTTGGCTGGAAAGTCAGACCTGTAAGACAACAGGACGGAGTTCAGAAACCGCAGTCCAATGGGGGCCGGTGTCCAACTACGTTACACAATCAGTTTCCACAATTCCTTGCTGGTATTCTGTTATAGTCCCAAATCACGGCAACGCATTTGACCCCACATTGAGTGTCATCACTGTTCCACTGTCAATGATGCTACCCCCGAGCACCGGCAGTATGTATCTACTGCGAACTTTGGAGAACATCATGCACTTCAGCTCTGCATCACTCTTATCTTGCCAGTACCGAAAGCTGTTTCACAGATTCTAGCGAGGGGGGGGGGGCTGTTGTAGTGTGCTCGATTGTACAGTGAACCCGGACAATAACTTATATTTGCCGTACATCATTTTTCCACTACAATCAAAATGTATGTTCACATTTTTACCTCAGTACCAACGCAGTGTGACGATTGTTTTACACAATCGCTAACAAATGCATTCTTCCGCTCGAGGACTTTCACTTTTTAGCTTTCGATCGGTTTGCGCGTTATCGCACTCCCTGGTTTTTGTTACCTTTGTCGTGAGCAAGTATCGCTACATTTCCTGTGTCACGATATCCCAATACACTTCTACCACAACCACAAGGCTTTTGGTTCAACCAGCAGTAACTCGGTTGTTTGCTAGTCAAGGGACCCGTTCAGAAGTTCGTCAAGTCGTTCCACTGGCTGTAGTCGACGCGCGTCACATTCTAACCGACAGTTTTGGAACACTAATTTGAATGAGTGCTCCCTGAGGTGAATGCTGAGTCACTAGATGTTATATCTTGTCAAGACGTATGATCGATACATGCACCTCTTGTCTAGTCGCCAATAATCGGAGAGAGAACACGGCAGAGAAAACGATAGACCATTTTCTTGATCAAGAAGGATTACGCAAGTATAGGTGCTGGATTAGGCGTACGAGAAACGACGTGATGACGCACCAATCAGGTTGGGACCTTGATACTCCGATTGGTCGATCGGACGACAACTGTCTGATTCGTCTTAGTCATCCAATCCGGAATCGATTCGGCTTGGTGTCACGAACGCACTTGTGGTGTGTCGCGCGTCGGTGCGTGACCTAACAGGTTTTGTGCGTTCCGTCCTAACACTGAATGAGCGGAAAACAACATGGATGTTCACGGTCCTGCGTTATTTGAAACACCAAAATCCAGTCTCCGTGACTTCGGTAATACTGGGCGGAGTAATGATTCCAGGCTTTCCACATGGGTCTTTAAATGCATTTCCTTGAACATTTTGGTGACCAACACCAAAAATCCAGGCGTAAAGGCTGAAAGGTCAACACGTGAGATCCAAGAACCGCTTGGATCTCTGTCGTTCTAATGCTGCGAAACAATAACCAGCTCCCGGACAAACGTGAGTTGTAGGATTTGATATCGTCTTGCTTGAATTCAGCCTACGTCTGTTTACTCGCTGTCATTAGGGTTGGTTGAAAGCTTACTATTGTGCGAACGTAAGCATCAAGGCTTTAAATGCCATGGAAAATAACGACTGATTCACGCTTTCAAGTCGTCAATCGTATCGTCTTAGATCTGTCTGTCGAGGTAAAGAAGAGAAGATGGGAAAGATGCTTTTCAAAATGGGTGCCTAAGACTTTACGGCAAGGCATACTTCGCGACAGCCCACACCGACGAAGGGATTTATCTTTGGGAACCCTGACCGGAGCCTTTGACTCAAAAGTTTGACCCACAAGGCAGTGAGGCGTGAATCCGACTCGGGAGCGTGACCGAAGCACCCGTGTGGGAGCTTCTAGAGACTGGTCACGCCAGGCCTTCGGGTTTCGGTTAAGTTTGTTGTTCGCTGGTGCGTTGATTGTCGGTCCGCTTTTCGGGATCGGTCCTCTGCCTTAAGCACCCAATAAGACAAGCGGAACGTGGACGGGACAGCACCTTATTGGCTGGGGGCTGCCCAGCTTAGGCGGGCGGTAGCTGTCCAATGAAGTGCGAAGACTTCTCCCACCGTCGAGAGGAAGCCCCAGGTACCCCGCTCCTACGTCCATCTCTGGGTTTTTTTGACCGGTAAACTGCCCCTCCTCATGTTTATTTGCCGGAGTGGCCTCTCCAGGGGCGGATGCGGATAGAAGGAGGAAGCCAGTAGGTGCCCAAGGAGACTGAGCTTTGTCCGGCCTCTACGCGTTGAGCTTTCAGGAGTGATTGGATCTACGGCTGTGAAAAACCATCTTGTATGGCTCGCAGGATCATGGAGGCACGCAAGCCATCAAACCATGTCAAAGTGCAGTCTCGTCGTGATGGGTCGAGGTGAATCCAGTCCTTAACCGCTTACATGAATACCATATGGGATATAAGAATATAGCAAGACAACCAATGTTTTAGGTCATATTTCCTGTCTTGTCAGTCAGTTAGAGATGAAAGTCACGACCATATTTTGAAGATCAATTGATTGTATTTGTATACGTGCATACTATAGTCAAAGTTACTTGCTATAGCCAGTGTAATAACGAGGGTAAAATGGAGACCGGATTGTTTTATCGATAACGGGTAGGCTAATAGTTTTTTAAATTTCATTCATCAGTGGACAGTATTTAAAGGTAACCATGGCGACAGGAAAAACAAACATAAGTTAGCTTAGTAATGGAGAGTTTTACCACAACTAACATATAAAGACAATGAGACGAGACGATTGGCTGACAAGCCCTGGAACTCTCTCATTGAGCTGTTCTTCTACCAATCTGATTCGGTCTTCTCTACCAACACCCGAATAAATAGGGCACCCACGAGAGAACTGTTGTCCTCCTCCTGTCGAAACTCACATGCATTCGGAACTTCAAGTGTTAATACTCAGCCAACAAGCTGAGGTGGCTTAAAAAACAAATGAACCAAAGAACTAGGACTATTAAGTCATTGACCAAGATCATTCAACACGTGGTAAATCTGGCTGCAATCCATTCTACACCTTTTCCCATCAAGCTTTAGCCAAAACCCACAATCCTTTAGCCTTGACCTACATTCCTTTAGCCAAAACCCGAAACACTTTAGCCGCACCACATAGTGATTGAAGTAGGTTTAGACGATGTGCCCGTATCGTCAAACCATTTGGTACATCTCGTATGGCTTCAGTGTTTTCAGTGAGCCAGTTTTTAATGTACTAAATGATACGGGAACTAAAAGAATAAAATCTCCCACCTGTTTGAATTTACTGAAGACCTCTTCCAATGGATTGAAAAAGGGACTATATGGTGGGAGAAATTAGACATGGTGGTTGGCATTTAACTGCGCATCCAAAGCTCTCTGATGAACGGGCGCATTGTCAAAGATCAAAACTACTGGGACACCCGGTTGCCCAGCAGCGATTAGTGTAGAGCAGCTTGATAGGAACCCATTGAAAACAAACAACTTCGAGGGGTTACCCTTATCATATACCCAACACACCAAACATGTACAAATCCAACGACATAATCCTGGTGTCGTGGGGTAATAATCACACTTGTGCGTAGTTTTCACCCACTAAGAAGCGGTTATTGAATGCCCATGGGATTTACAAGTGAGTTGAAGGATTTACTTTGGTAACTACGGAAAGTGCGCGTCTACTATCGGACCGTTCTAGTAGTTAGTCATCCCGTGTACTTGTGGGAATTTGAAAGACTTGTTCCAAATGAAACACTTAATTGTATGTATGCCAATTTGTCGAAACCCTTACCGCAACACATAACTCTCTTCATCCCGGCACTGCTTAGCGGATTTTTAACAATTACGAACTACCTCTGTGTGTAAAGTTTACCATTCCAATTCGCGACAAGAAATGGTGTTTTCCTTGAGACATTTGTTCAGAGGAGAAGGGCTGGCGACTCCCAAGTACTGCACACAATGTTTCAATCGATTACTGCCGAAAATAGATCAATTATCTGAGACTAACCGAGTAAACAGGTAAAATCAAGGAATAAAACAATGCTTCTATGTAACTGATTACTGATCACTTCTAATTCTATTGTTATATTTGATAAAATACACTGGGCACTCTCGAAGGCTAACCAAATGGGACGGCGGATGATGTCCCGCATGATAATGAATGTTTGATGTCTTTCTCAGCTGTATCCACAAACGACCTATTACCATCTCTTTTAACCGCACGATTCAGCAATCCACTTACAGACAGATGGACAGAAATAACCAGTGATCAATGACGATCAAGAGACGTGAAACACTGACAACAGTGTAAACTCACCGCATAATATTGTATTAGTTCCCTTAGTGAAGAGAACTGATTCACATTGGGAAATCCGAATAACTGATAGGACGGTCCAAACGAGTTCTGACCCGGTTCGGGAGTGATCACTGAGACTAAAACGTGAGAACAGATCCCGGCCCATAGCACACTGATCACATAACGCTGAGCCGACGGATCAACACGCACAAGAAATGCCCCGTCTAAGTCAACTTGTCGCAACAGCTGTTCCGCTCGAGAGCGGTCAATAGTACCTGGATTACATGGAACAAAGTGAAATGAAAAGTGTGCTGTTTACTGTGGTGCTCACCACACCGGAATCTTCATAGACTTTTATACATCACAAGCGTGCAATACATTAACTTTAAAAGCTTTTGTCCAGCGGTATACGAGCACTGGCTGGTTCGATGTTTACTTCATGAAGAGCGCTAACTTTGTAATCATTCTATGGATGGAACCGAGGTTGACATACTGACTGATGCGTTTGCATTTATCAAAACGTATGGTACATCCAAAATGACCAGAGATTGTTGCCAAAAGCGGAAAGAAGAATACATATATCGTAAGGATTGTTTTATGTTACATCGGAAAGTTAACATGCTCTACTATCCTTCGTTTCTGAGCTCCTTCAGGCATGCTGACCCGGCTTTTGGTTACCCCGTGTCAAGTAAATGTATATTTCTGGTGCCCTATAATATCTGGGTTTATTCACCTACCTTTCTTTTGCCAACTTCATGTCGTACACTTTCAGTGTACAATACGATCCCTTATTTACCCGGTCTGGTGATTTAATCGTGGGAAACTGTCCATCCACCTACAAACCGGCCCCTCTATCCTAAAACCACGAGATTGCATCCGATTAGGTAGACATTGACCAGTGGTGACCTCTGACCGCGCCTAGCGAAATTTTGTCTGGAGCAGTGTTATCGATCGGAACAGTTAAGTCAGCTTAATTTCCATAGATGAAACAACGAGCATATCCATATAGTCATATGATTCGGTTTAAAGGACCTTCATAAGCGAACGTCATAAGAATATGATGCAAACAGCTTAATCACATTCTCTCTTTAAAGAACAATGTGCAACTAAGGTTTTCGGAACTGGTGAATCATACGTTTGGCACTACAGAAAGCGGCGGAATAATCTTACGTTAGTGAGGATGAAAGAAACAGGTAAGTTCCTATACTACGATACGGGCGATGGTGGCCAGGTGGTTAGGGTCACCAACTTGTGACCTGGGAATCCTGGGTTCGAACCGCTCCACCGCCGCCGCCGCCCATCTTCCTCATTTCTGTGTTTCTCCGAATAGTCTTTGTATGGTCACTGCCCCCCTTCCTGAACAGTGACTGTATATTTGTTTATTCAATAAATAAATAAAAGGAAGTGAAAAGACATTTATATATCATATGTATATATTCCATGGGTTGAGCTGAGTTGCTCCTTTTGTTTCGTGTATGCGCAAAGCACTGCAAGATGGGTTCCCCACAAATGGCACTGAATCGCTCATAGGACATGGTTCTATTGTCTATTGTCCAACAGTGAGAGGACGAAAAGCCGACATCCGGGGCAATAACCGGGTTGGTGGACCACTGGCAGTTCACCTAGGGGAGTTGGCCAAAAACTCTGATTCCAAACCAACAGAGAAGCAGCGCATGAACCGCACACACCTCCCTGGCTGTGGTAATGGTCACCGGCTCGATTGGTCGTCAAGGTGTATTGGGCACCTTGGACGTTTGACCCCGTCCAAAGGGCGAATAATTCGATGAACTGGACACCGACCCCCAATGGATTGCGGTTTTCACACCGCTCCGCTGCCTTCCGGGGCAGGTTTTTGCTAGCCGAAGGCTCCAGTTGTTGATTCCTCAGGATAATTCACCTGCCTTCGTCTGGGCAACCTGGCAATATTCGGCCCTCATACCAATCGTGGAACGTTTTTATTTTTATAAAGACCATTACACTACGATTTGTTTGGCACACAGTCTAGCCTCAGATGATATATATATATATAACAGTAATAGCAAGTTTATTTGGTTAAATGGTATGCTTTCTGGGCCATTCAGCATAGTTCTGTTCTTCTAACGGTATGTAGTGACATACATACATTTGCTTCTGGTGAATACTTTGATCGTATACAGTATTTACATGTATTAAACATATTAGTTGAGTGATTCACGCGTTAGAAATGCCACCCCCATCTTCTTGAGCTCGAATCCGTTTGAATTCAGTGAAATCCATTCGGTGTGTGATAAACAGTATAGCTACTCATTATGAGCTCACGAGAACCGCTCACCCACAATTCGGTNCAATTCGGTCCTAGGAGTGAAGAATCACGGAGATTCGTGGTATACACCTGAGTGGGACAATAGTGAGGTTGCCCGTTGAGTGACGACGCATCGACCACGCATAACGGATTCACCTTCATGAACACTACTGTTTCATTCATTCACTGAATATCGACTATGGATGGCAACCATGGTCAAGCATAAAAACCGTGCAAGCACTTTGCATTGATTCTTTTCTGATGTTCATTTGTTATCGATGATTTAAACGCTTCTGAAATTACAGTCTATTTTTCGAATGTTGACGGCAGCAGCATCATTCCTATACACTCCAAATAGTATAACAGCATCTTTTACAATCAAGGCCGCATACTAAAGCTTTCTGTATAAACCAATCGTGGTCAGTTCACCCGACGTGTTCTTAGAAAGTTCCCCGACCTATCAGTTGCTTACTCGTTTGTGCTCAGTGACTGGATGAAAGTATGAAGTAAACAATATAACTGACTGTAAGACTGACGGGCACGAGGAAAACGTTTTAAATACTGAAAGATGGAAACAGAACTACCACAACTACCACCTCTGTGAGTAAAAATCCACTAACCATGAAACCAGCGCGGGACCCGAGAGAATGTATTTTCTGGATAAGTCGTGTCATAACCATTCGGTGGGAGGCCAAAATCCCGCATCAGGTTGGAAGCCTCATTTCGCCGGAACCAGTTGTCATCATGTCTTGTTGGAGGAGACATGGTTATATTTGTGAATGCCGTCGAAGTTTTGGTCTGCAGATTCGGCGAGGTCGGTGTCGTGATGGGTAAAGTGGTGGTCGTGATCACAGAGGCGACTGTTTTACCTTGTATTGTCATGGGGACGGTGGATGGTTGTGACACGTTTCGAAATAGCTGCTCAGTCAAACGTAAGATTGTGGGTGCGACCGGATGTTTTAGGGTCACTTTGAAAGATGGCAATGAAGAACAAGAAAAATTGCAAAACATTCGTTGTTAGTACAACATGTTGCTGCCAACTATGGGGCTAGAAATGGGGATATGAAGAACAAAAGACAATTAT